TTACTTTCTGCCTCGTCAATGCACATAAGAATCTTCTTTCAAGCTCACCATTTTTACGTTCCTTTAATATTTTGATAAATATTTTTTTTCATAAGAATGGTGGAACAGTCTTTAAGAATGAACCACAGATGTGAAACTATTTTTTTATTCATATTACAGTTACATATTTCGAACATAACTTGAAGATGTTTTAGTTAGAAAATATGAAAGAGATTCGGTTTCGGGACCATTATTGTATTTTCTAACTAATATACTACATAAGAAGGTAGCAAAAACAGTTCATTCTAAATGTCTCAATTTTAAGCAACCTACCATGTACAGCTAAAATCACAAAATGCAAAAGTTTCCTTGCGATTTTGCAAATTTCGTACATTTCGACACTTTAAGAAATATAATTTAGCATATTCAGCATTCGCATCAAAACCGGAACTTGATACGAATTTGTATATGTAAAAAACCACATGAAGACAGTAATAAAAGAAAGAGTAACGCAAAGAAGCATTCGTTTTTTCACATTAATTTCAATAATATTTTTTATGGAAGAAATATTTGAGTCGTTATTTACCGAGGCTGTTAATAATGCATCTTCTTGTTTGCATATGTTGTGAACTGTATAAAATGACCAGGAGACACAAAAGTTAAAAAAAACCGATTTGTTAATAAATGGAACAGATACAGATAAGTAAGATACAATATATGCAAGTGGCATGCACAAGAAAAATAAACGCAGTCCAGCGAAGGAGATTTCACAATTATCTTCATTTGAGTCTTCGGTTAATGTTCCTTTTTTCAAGATTTAAAACTTAAAAAATATGCCAACTTCTCCATTTCGATGTCTTCATCTAAGGCACTTATTTCTCTTATTGTGCCATTTCCCTCCGGAGGTTTGACGATCTAAATGGTTGAACTGCTACAAAAAATATTTTAATTTCGCATACTCACATGTGTGAGAACTTTGTTGTTAGTAAGCCTTTGATTCGACATAGGTGTTTGCTTCGCTAATGGAACAACCATGTCCCGTCTTTTCCACACATTTTTCTATGCAGTTTCTTCTAGTTCTACTGTCGTCATTTGTTCTTCAGCTCTTGTTCTTAGTATTTTGGTCATTTCTTCAGATTGCTTGCTTCAGACAGATTCTTGATTTTTTGTGCCTCTATTACTTGAATATTTCCGCGCTATCTTTTTATGGAGGACCTTTAGCAATTAGTCAAAACTCCGTTTGCGGCAGAACATAATTACTATTATTGGCATGTCTTACTTCCAGCTCACAATTTTGCCTAGTGTGTCCAAAAATATTTTGCTGTTTTTTTATATTTAATCATCTCTCCAACTGTCTCATGCTTGCTGTCTTCCGTGTCCGTGTTTAATCTTCTCGTAAGCTGTAATGCGAATATATATTTCCGGAATTTGTCATCTGTAGTTTTATTGCACCTTTTTATTATGATTCTATAGAGTATCTTGCACTTTGTTGTAATTATGTYGTGGTTTCGTTCTCATTCATTCATGAGATCCATACTTTCCTATGATATTCGGTTGATTTTTGTAGGTTCAATTTGTTCTCCTTCGACTTTCGATATTTGATTTTAAAGTTTTTCCATTTTGTTATGCATTTTACTGCTTGTTTCTTTCATTCCCTTCTGATTGTTYAAATGAGTGACATCAATTCTTGCTTTTGCCACTTCCTGCGTTGCAGGTTTCAGCAATCTCTTAAGCTTGAAKATTGCAAACTTGACGACAGCAAAGAAATATTTCAATTTCCTCAGTAGTTGTTAGATCACGTTTCTGATCTTGCCCTGTTAGCCAAACATACAAAAAAAGTCACAAAATACGCTTACTTTTACACAAATTCTATACATTAAACTTTGACGAAATTGAACATATTGCGAAGTTCGGTAGTTTTCAATTTAGCAAATTACTAACCATACACTAGCAACATTCTTGCGTTTGCTTGCTACCAAACTATCTCGATATTATATAATGCCTCCTAGCTAAACTCCCATAATTACTGCGGATTATTCATGTTGACCATCAACTAGCCATTAAACGTCTTATTAGCATAAATAGTTTGTTACAAAACGTTTCCTCAATTCGGTGTTCCGATCGACATACCGCAGCCTAAACGGTTACATAGAAAACTCCTAATGTCTTCATAAATCATTGGGGCCAGTCCAAGAGGGTCATTCGGGAACCTCACCTGTGTCTTTTAATGGACACAGTTTGAATTTTAAGGCGGTAAATTTTGGAAAACTGTTTTTTCGTCTGTATAAATAAAAAACAGACCCCCCTTTGAATTGTCATAACTTACGCAAGAGGAGGCGACCCTTCTAAATGAGTTTGCGTCCTGCAGCGAACGCATGCCGAGGTGAATTTTAAAGAAGAATTATTCCATCCGCACCATATGCTCCAACGAAACACAAAAATTCGTAGAGATACTTATGATTTTAAAAAGGTTATTTAATATTGAAAAATGGGGAGAGTGTAACTAAAATCAGTAATAAATCAGCACATTTTAAGTGTACCACAAAATTCAAATCCAAGTTTTTATTAATATTGCAAGGTATGGCTTAGTAGATATATTAGCTGTGGTATCGTACTTATTAAACAGTTCAGTTAAGTGAGATATACAGGGTGTTAAAAGGCCCAACCCAACGATCCTAAGCGGCATAATGCTGCACGAGTTGCAAACCACTCTTCAAGAGGGCTTCGAAAGAGCGGTTGGTGTTCAAAGTTCAGCTATTTTATCAGAGAAAAAGAAAGCGGCGTCTTACTCAAATTTGATTAAACTCTATTAAAAAATTGGAAATATTTAGATCGCCAGGCTAATGGTAGCAACCACTTATACCAAACATGGTCCCTTTCTTCCGACGATTTTCCAAAACTTAAGACCTAAGAAGCTTAGAAAACGTCGAATTTAATTAGAGAAACCAGATTACACTGCCATCACTATCTGACTCATTATTGAACGAATTTACAATAAAATAGCTACCAATAACTGTATAAAATCCTGAATATTTTTAACCAAAATAGACGCTGTTAAAATTGTCTAATTACAACTTTGCCGTTTAACCGTCTAACTACTTTGAAAGAGCTAATAAAGGTGACTCCAAATAGAATTACTCTTGGGGCTGTTCGACCGCGTCCTTTTTGTTGAAAAACGACAAAGGACCAACTAGTCCTTTCCATCTTACCGCAGATAGAATAATAAACTTGTAAACAGTCCTGTTTCCACAAAGAATGAAATAGTTGGGACGCAGAATGAATACTTTAATTATATAGGGACAGCAGGAAGGGCACTTTGAACATTCCTACTCCAATGTGAGCAGAGAAATGTAGAACAACTAAAAAATAACTTTCCAGATAAAAAAATTTAAAAATCGGAAACTCAGATTGATGGAAGTACTAGTAAGATATCAGTCAGGCAATCACGAATGGAAAATGTTGGGCAATATGAAGAAACATAGTTAGATTTTGTTTGATTAATCCACCGCGAATTACCTACGAAAAATCAGTTTTTACGTTAGAAATGTAGATATCTTTGAACAGTATCAAGAAGGAAAAGCAATACTTTGCTAAAAAGTCTATAAAAAATATCTTTGCTGAAACAGCTATAAGCGTATTAAATATATATTTCCTTAAAAACTGAAACACTCAGTGAAAATAACAGCCGCTAAAGCAACTGTTACTCGTGATTTACGAACTAAACATCTATTTTATAATAGCAATAATTATTATTCTATTTCATAATTACATTCGAAAAATAAGCAGAAAACCAATTTTACACGTTGCACATTTCGTGCCTAAACTCTTCTGTTAAATTTATCTAACAAATTTAAGCGCATTTCAAATAAGAATAATATACAACTTAGTTCAAATTAATATTTTTAATGTTTCTGATTTTTACGAATTTTTAATTACAAAACATTGTTTGGAGCTTCACTAGAAGTGAAATAAACGGCACACGGTTCACTCTTAGAGATAAATGAAGCGTTTAATAGTCAATAATTTTATAATTTTTGTTATTAGAAAAATTCGTTATCAAATATAGTCAATCCAACTAACGAATATTTCATAAAACTAATATTTCTTTAACGAAAAATGAGGGCTAAGTTCAAAAATTAATAACAGTCAATCATTGGAAACTAAAAAAATAGAAAACACCAAAATTTCAGCTCACTAAACCACTTTAAATTAACTAAATTAACAACCGGACTTTATTGCAATTTACGTTTTATTGAGGGCCAGATCAGATCCCTCTACCAGTTTGATTTCTGATGCTTTTCCTTTACTCGTGTTAGAACATTTTTTATATCTTTTTTACACATTGCCTTGCAACTTCTTTCAAAAGATGATTAATTTTTAAATCGAACAAGTTCCGTTAAAATTCACCAATTTGTGGAATTATGTCATTGAAATAACAAACATATGCATATTCTTCCTCACAATTAACACAAATTCTTTATTATTTTAATTGTAATGCAATAAAAATATAGTAATAATTTAATTTTTAAACAATAATTTAAGAAAAATTTAGTTATGATGAAAGTTAAAAAAATATGTTTATCTTTTGTTATATTCAAACATTCAACCAGTGGTATTTTAAAGAAATATTTATCAAAAAAATGTGCTTAAGGTGCCTTAAGCGTATTTGTGTCCATCCTTGTCGAGGGGAGTGCTAACCGTCTCTCCTTTCATGCTACACACTTATATGTAGGTAACATACTGCTATAAACGCTACAGGCACGTAGGTCTCCTGGGTGAGAAATATTGTTTTCTCGCTTGCCCTGGCATCTTGAGACAACACGAATAACTTAATTTATTTGCCAAAAGCTCAAGCGGCTCAAGTACTGCTTCAGTTTTCTAACGAAAGCTAATTTAGCGCTAAAATTTAAAAGTCTTCTACAAAAAAACATTATTATTAACAAATTTGGCAAAAGATTGAGAAGAAAATTGAATCATTTGCAAATAGTTTATACATTTGGCAAAGAGCAAATGTAAGTCAAATAGGTGACGTCTGTCGTCTGTCGTCTAACCGATGACCTAACCTCCAAGAATAAACAAACATGAGTCATATTGAAAACTTTGATTAATTCCTTGAATAAAACTGTAAATAATTACCATTAACTTTTGCGGAACCGTCGTTAAATCGTTAAGTGCACTTACAACATGTCTTTCTTAAATTTTTGGTCAAAACCTGACCCAAAAGGTTTGGTCTTAAAATGGGCAAAAAGGATAAGGGAAAACTTAGTTTTGTTTTTTTTTGCAGTAGAGCAAAGAGAAACCGACAAAGCTTTAAGGAAAGTAAACAGGGATCTTGAACGAGATCGCCTGAAACTGGAAAGAGAGGAAAAGAAACTGGTAAGCTTAATTTTTAAATAAAGTAATATAAACAATTATTATAAATTATAACAACGTAATGAAAACGCCCTATAACTCATTCTTTCGTATATCGAATATCTATACAGTATTGGGGCAATTAACGCGATTTCAATCAGATCTATGACATCTATTTCAATTCTCTATGAATGTGATTCGTGAAATTGCAATAAAAAGTTTCGCTGAAAATGGCTCCTTAAAGGGGCTAAAGCTCCTCAAAGGATGATCCCCGATCACATATTTTTCTCAAGTTTTAAAACGCTAAAAAAGTCTTATTCATCAAGACGTCATCATAGTGAGTTGTTATTGTTTCAGACTTGTAATTTGTTCATTTTTTGAGCGAAACCTTTATCAATTTAGTACTGATTTTTTTAAATTAATTTTTTGTGAATAGAAAAAAATTGGTTTGTTTTATTTGCCTCTTCCATACCTTGCCCTTAAAGATTCACAATTTAGGGTCACACCAAACTAGTTTTGTGTCTATCTAAACAATTGCTGAAAACCGAAGCATGCGTTTCTTAATCACACCGAAATTGTTAAGGGATTAGTCAGATCAAGCAATGTATTAAATTTACTGAAAATAAGATATTTTGAATTGGTAAATTGCAATTGCGGTCCTTATTCCTGCGATAAAATGGCGAATGTGAATTTTTCGACCAAAAGATGGAAATGGTATGAGGCTATAAAATGCATTTCTCTTTCCAAGAATAATTTTTCTTAGTCAATAAATGTTGCTCAGCATCAGTAATTTCAGTTCATTTTTTAAACTAATTATCAAATTTAACAGACAAAAAAAATTCTGACCATGTTGACGCTGGAAGCCTCACGCATGTACCGCTTTGCACTGTCGCACTAAATTTGCATTTATTGGAAAACTCTTTTGTATGAGATTATTGAGAACAAATATTGCATTAATTTTTTTAAATTTGTAAATTGCAAATGTGATTCCTGCGATAAAATGGCGAATGTAAATTTTTGGACAAGAAGGTGAATGGGAAATCGTATGACAAAATAAAAAGTATTTAAGTCTTTCTAAAAATAATTGTTATTTGCCAGTAAATGTTCGTCAGCTTCCGTAATTAAAGTTGATTTATAAAATTATATATGAACTGTCAGACAAAAACATTGAGAAGCGTATCATATATTCGTTGGAAGCCTCATGCATGTAACGCAGCGCACGGTCACACTAAATTTGCAATAATTCGAAAACTCTTTTCAGTACCACTCAGTACATACATAGTACATAATTTCATAGTTTTAATAGGAACTGTTGTTCAGAACCCATTGCGAAAAATGTCTTCAGAGTTTCAGCCTCTTTTTGCATTTTGGGTGTATGTTGATAGAAGCTTTTAAATCCTGTATAGGTAGTCTTTGGTCTATTTAATATATTCATTTGACATGCCAAATCCAACAACCTAAAAATAAACTAGATGTAAAATTAAGAAATAAAAGGTACGCGAGATGATAGCTGTTTTTTCAAAGATATTAATACAAATTATTTTTATTAGTATGGATGTAGGCAGATGTTATATGCAATGCTCGCAAATATAAAAAACTGCTTGCACTAAAAAAATGCTGTAATCTTGACACTTTCAAACGAATTAGTCTGAGTGTAGAAACCATATTTTCTAGAATAACGCCTTTATACGAACGGTAATTACCAAAATTATATTACGTGTTTCAGGAACAGGAGATTAAAAAACTAGCAAAAGCGGGTGATCAAGAGGGTTGTAGAATTCTGGCCAAACAGCTGGTTCAGATGCGCAAGCAAAAGACTAGATCATATGCAGCTAGCAGCAAAGTGACCGGTGTTCAATTCCAAAATAAAGCTATGGGAGCCAATATGAAACTGGCAGAATCGATGGGAGTGGCTGGCAAGACCATGGCTGATATGAATAGCTTGATGAAACCCGAGCAACTTGCAGCTACTGTCAATGCCTTCACCAAGGAGAATATGAAGATGGAAATGACCGATGAGATGAGTGAGTACTCACTAATATTACCGATATGTATAAAGCGAAAAAGAGTCCACATCATTATCAAGAACCTGTCTGGAAAAGCAATAAACTAACAATTAGTAAACTACACACACAATGAAGTTTCTTTCGAGAAAAAAACCATTGGTTCCACCCAAAGTAATTAATGTTTTGATTTTTCCAGTCAACGACACATTAGATGATATGCTAACTGAATCAGGAGATGAAGAGGAAAGTGATAACATTGTCACCCAAGTGCTTGATGAAATTGGAATTGAAATGAGTGGAAAGGTACGTAATTAGTTGTCCTTTGCTAAAATTTCCTTCATCCACATTTCCTAAAATATATCTTTTGTAACCCTCAGATGTCCGGAGCCCCTCTGCCAGAAACAGGAAAAATTGGCCAAAAATCCAAAGGTCTTTCAGATGAGGATATTGAGGCCCAACTGGCAAAACTAAAAGGATAGGTAAATACCTTTCCGTTTTTATTTGTGAATAGCGTTATTTTATAGTTGTTTTTTCTTCAAATCGATATAAATACTGTTTGTTTTGTAATAAAACTAAGGGTTACGAAAACGAAAATCAATCCAATTTTACCATACATGTATTACGTATGTTGTCATTATATTTTAATTAGTAATTGCTTTGATMAATTTGAAWTTTTTATTGCAKTTASAYAMCAAAAAGAAATATACTTGGAAAACTTTTCAGGTGTGCCTGTARTAGATTTATTTTTGCGAAAAATTAAAGAACATTTTTTTTAAGTTAGCTATTTCTAACTAATCTATCTATACACCCTTACTCTATTATATCAAATTGCAATGTATTTGTTTCAAGATAAAACAGAAGATATCGTGGCATAATAAATTCAGTTTTATCTTGGGCAGATAAAACTAAATTTATTATGCATTATCATACATATGTGGTATTTAGTGTGTAGATCAAATGCGTCATTATCTGAATCTTTGAAACTTTAGAACCTTACTATTCCTATTATTATTGCTATCAACTACTAGTCAGTATCAACTATCTATCAACTACTAGTCTATATCAGTCAAAGTATCCAGAACTACATCATCAGTTTGGTAATATGCTACTTATTAATCTAATTTCTATTTATTCTCAAATATAAATAAACGTATTTAAATTAATAATATCATTCTACATTATCATTCTTACAGCTATACTCTTAAATATCAGTGTAATAGGGTAGACGGTTGTTAAATTCAGATCCAAAATACTTAAATATATCCTGATAAAAATCACGATGTCTTAAAAAAGACATTGGTTATAGTCTAAACTCAAAAACATCTCACAATATGTGGATATCGGCTTGAGGTTGAAAGTTTGGGAGATACTAAGGTAATATGTAAGCTTTGGCTAGGAATTGGGAATCGAACTCGAAGCGATATTAAAGCTAATATCGGACATATTAGCTTTAATATCATTCCAGATATTTCACGGTTGAATAATTCGCTTAATATATTCTGTTAAGTTCCCTGACATAAATAAATTATCTACCAAATATAAACATTAAGAAACATTTACATTGCAAGTTCGTTAAAGCGAAATGTTAGCGATCAAAACCTGAATCTGGTGAACACTGTCTGCTTAGGCTTCGAAGCTCGTATCTTATACTAGGAGACAAAAAGGTTTTCTTAGGATAGTCACTGCGAAATTCAGTTTTAGGCGTATTTGGGATATCTATGCTTCGTTCTCGAATTTTTTTATTCGAAATTTCATTTTTTATATCAATAGTAGAATTAACTTCCTTCTCATAAAAATACGTTGGCTCAGTATAGTTTGGAGCTATTGAAGAGAAATTCGGCGATCTGCTCCTCCTGTTTCCTTTAAAATTATCTAAAATATCGATATTTTGTTTCTTTATCGTATTTAATAAATTCAGGTTTTCCTGAGAGATATCCTTGTATGTAAAACCAATATATAAAACAGTTATTACCGATAAAAAAGTGAAAGCATAGCGAGAGTACCAAACAAAGCTGTATAAATTACTGTACAAAGTATGAGCTTCGGAGTTCTCGTTATATTTAGTATAAAATGAGCAGATAACTCGTTCATGCAAAATATTTACAAAAAGGAAGAAAAGTAACGGAAATCTGGCGTTTACTGTTCTCTGGCACGATGTAAATGTAAAAATTAAAACCAGAGCGAAACAGTTGAATATTATGGAATCTATCCATGATATTTCTCCAACAATCCATCCTTGAAGACTACTTACTTTTTGTGACAAGAACTGAAAAGGAAAACATGTTTCTGTAATTTAATTCTAAATAGTAATTTTCCATTATTATTTGAGACTTTTCGGTATTTCCATCTAAAAAAATATTAGATTCCCATACAGAGGTGGTTAAAGTTATAATTAAAAGAGAATTAAAGTTCAGAATAACGATATTTATTTAACATATAAAGTAATCCAACTTGCGATACTTTGTTATAACAAAGTTGGTACATATTAAGTGCTTACAGTTCACAGTAGCTGCTTTTTAAAAATAATTAATTAAAACCGTTTTTGTACTTCGTGCGGAAAGATGATGATAAATTCGGGTTAAATGTTCGCACGTAACAAAGTCAGGAGCACTTTTTTGTCTTCCAAATTGAACAAGAAATTAAACAAGTGTTCGTACATAAAAGAAAAACAGTGATGTCTTATTTTTGGCAATTTAAATTGAAATTTAGCCGTTTAGAGATGTGCTTGTGCCCACGCTACTGGTAAGTTTTATTATTTTATTTACACGTAAGATATTTTCATAGTGTTCAATTTGTAATAAAATGGCAATGTTTGAACAATTAAAATTCAGTTCAAATAGCGCAATAAAGTGTCTGGTTATTAAAAGTAAGGTACTAGATAATTAAAGAAATTTGCGTTCAGATCATATAATGGTAATGGAAGTTCTACAAATTTCTGCTTAATTATGGAGTTTGATTTTTTTAGCAACTATCTTCGGGTTTTAATACAATCAATGCATAAAGGCTTTAATTAGTATTTTTTGGTACTTCTTATCGTTGAGATTAAGCTTGAAATTATCGAGGACAAACAATACAATAGTTTACATTCAGTAGAACCAATTGAGGTCTACTTAGTCTATATAATTACCTTTAGAAGCTGTTGATGACCTTTCGTTGAATTTGCAACATCGTCCAGAACTCTTTCCAAAAACCGCCCTTGTTCAAGCATTGTTACCTGCAACTCCATGCTCTCTTTTTGCAGTCTATTAAAGTCCTGTTGTTGCTCCACTGAAATGGCCAACTGTCTCCCCATCCTATACGTGTTTTCTGAAATTGTTTCGTGCCAAATCTGTCCTCGTAAAAACCAGCAAATATTCTGTGTGTGAGTGTAAAATTCGGTGTAAACATTGAAAGCTCGATCCGACATGCTGTTTATGCATATGCCTCGTAGATTTGGTTTTTTGTCCAACTCGCAGTTATATGTTTCATGTCCAGACATTTGCAGGAAACAGTTGGTTATATGTAAAGCAATATCACTCTGAGTATCCTCATTTAAATAACGACAACCTTTATCAATGTGTTTTAAAGCTGCCTTAAAACATGCCCCATATTTTGGCAATGTTCCTTTTTCTTTGATCAACTAATATGAAAGACCATCAAATTAATTCTCATTTGCAAGGCTATAAATTAAATTTCTTACCTGATATTGAGATCTGCCCTGTTCAGACATTTGTTTATGCTCATCATCTTTCAAAGGAATATCATTTTCAAAAGCCATCGAATTTATGGCAAAATATAGCAGGAAGGCATGAACAATACACACATCTACATTCTTTAACATTTTTATCTTATTGCTGCTGGAATGCTTTTTGTAAACTTAGAAACTGTAAACACCTGTTGCTATTTAAATGTTTGGGGCATTTGCGATGCTTGGAAAGCTGCTTACAAATCAGCTTTGAGACAAAACTCACTTGAAAGCTGCTGCTCAGTAATCAACAATATTGCATCCGTTAAAGAATCTAATTTATACTATAATAAATGCTTTTTACGGTAAAAATAAGCTGAAGCTTCAACAGTCTTCGGCTAACCAACAGTCACCTGGGTTTTAAACTTTCAAGCTCATGTCCAATGTAGTAGGAACGGTGCTGCTATATCGACATTTGCACGTTTTCTATTATCGAAACAACGTCGAACTTTTTATAGTATTAAAAAACGATATAATTGTAAAAAATAGTCTTTGAGGCAGGCTGTTTCATAACTATTCCCAATATTTTATAATTCGGAAATTTTCAAACATACGATTATGAGGATAAATTAAATAAAATTTAATTTGTTAATACGATACGCCCCATGGTTCGATTTTATTTCTTTTCAGTTCTGTCTGAATTTGTACAATAATGTTTTTTAAAATATTGTTGTATGTATTTTGATACTTAGTAGGTAAATGTAAAGCGAATAGAGAAGATGGGAATTTTGTTATAAATAATTAAATACATATTCCGGATTTTTGCTCAAAAACTCTATTGGATTTATTAAAATTTAATTAGGTAAGTTTGTTTTTGCCCGCTTATATAAGGCCTTTTCGCTGTGCTCATATCAAATATTTATTTCCCTAAAGCTTGGAACCGTTTGAGACTAGAACGAATAAAAACTTATTATTAAATTAATAAAGCGTACCTCTCTTGCGCAATTATATTTGTTTTCTAACGTATTAAGATATACTTCTACTGCATTTACAATAAAATTGAAAAAATATGAATTTTCTTGGGATTACTTGTAACATCGGCTGACGTCATAATTAGTATCGATACTGGTTTTTATTGACTAATCCGACATGTAAACAATACATAAGATCGAATATAATCCGACTAATTAATCAAAACCTACTGAACCATCGCCTTCTGTGAGTTTTGCTGACTTCTGCTTCTCACTGGTAACTAACGATAAAAACAATTAATCAAACTATAGATTAATATAAAAAAAGGCATTTAAAACACAATAACCTTCGAAATCATTGCGGTAACCTCAAATTGTCAAACTTACATTTATGAATGGGCCTTTCAAATGAATGGCAGGCATTGGACCAATGAGAACAAGGATGTCCCGAGAAATTCGTTACTACGGCGAATTCGCGAGTAAAAATTCTTTAAATTTTTGACAGTGTCGGACTCCTGAAATCCTCAGCATTCTTGTCTGCATTCCGAACCGGATTTTTCATGAGGGGCGCTAGAAATTAAAGGGAGATGGACTACTGAAATATGAATGTTGTTTGAATGTAAATTGAGGGTCATTGCTTACTTACCGAGTATCTACATGCGAAACGGGTTTAGCTCAGTTTATTATTTATTATACATATATTATTATAATTAAAATTAATTAACAAATTTTATAGAGGATCAGTACAAAAGTCATAGCACCGCAGTGCTACCTTTTTTTTCTAATGGAATAAGCTGTATTTTATCAATAATTTAATTCTTCTCCACATTCTATAAAAAAAATCTAATAACCCATTAGATTTTATTTGCAAAATAAAAGTTTTATCTTTCCGTGATCTGATGATTAAATATGAAAACACAGTTCATCAAGTTATCTAAGCAAATTTAGGTCGCTATAAATAACAAAGTCGAGTCATTATTTTGTTCTAAATCTAAACAGTTAATCTTCAATTGACAAAAATTCGTTTTATATTAAYTATTTGAATTTATTATAGCACGTTTAAGTGAAACTGAGCGTATTAAAATATTAATGATGATATATGGGGTTTTGAACGCGAAGTACGAGCATATCTCCATGAAATATTTCCTTTGAAATGGATTGGTAGAGGACAATTGAAAGACCAGTTCGGTCTCCCGATTTGACCTTACTTGACTTTTTTCTATAAGATCATATTAAAAATACAGTTTACGAAAATAGGCCACAAAGTTTTGAAGAGTTGCAATATAGCATAAGTTACGAAATTGTCGGTATTCCTCGGAATGTACTTCCAAATTTATTACAAAATTTTGTTCAGCCGCTTCATAAATTCAAATTATTCATGAATCTCTAAAACGCAATCCTGTTGGTTGTGACGTCTCTGGTCATATAAATGGCGGATTGTTTACGTCCTGTGCATAGTGTTTAGTTGTGTGGTTGTGTTTCATTCATTATTTTGTGGATTTAAATAATTTATAGTTTGTGTTAAACTAAACAACAAACAATTTATTATATGTACATATTTTTATGAATACCGAATTTTTAAAAAACGACGAACGCTTAAATTCAGCCGAATTTAAGGGTGTCAAAGCAGCAGCGTAAATAAAAATCCCTAAATTCATTATTAGTTACTCTCTCCTTAATGTCAAGAGGTAAACGGCGTACACTTTGAACACTTTTGAAAATAAAATTTTAATTTAATTCCGGAACCCCATAAAATTATCTTGTTTAGAAATTATGTCTCGTTTTCTTTTACCATTCCTCGTTGTGCAAAATTTAAAATACTAAATCTAAGAATTGAGCGAATTACAGCATAAATAATTTTAACAAGTCGATATATTCAACTCAGCTAAATTCAAGCATGTAATGTTTTATAAGGTTTTTGTTTCCAATGTGGAGGAGAATTCAATTATTGTCTAACATACAGAGTGTTCCATTTAGCTTTTTCACTGTATTCAAAATTTTTCTTTAAGTAAATAGGCTGGAAAGAACCTTACAATTTTTGTATTAATCATTTTGTTCTAGCACTCTTAGTTTAGGACATAATCGACTGTTGCCATACATAAAAGCCACTGTATATGACCGCAGTGATACATCATATGAACTCATATGAAAGGAATCGAAAAACAGCCTTTAAATAATAGTTATGTATTTTTTGCATAGAACGCAAGTTCTCAAATAAATTCGATTTAACATTTTCAATTTAGCATCGGTAACGTTTGACAGTTTCTTCTAGAAAACTATTTCTGCCGCTTTAAATCCTTTTTTTTGTGCGAAATTTAATCGTTTTCATACTTTTATGGCACCCTGTATATGTTTCTCTTGTAATCGGTGAAAAAATTGATGTTTGCAAATATAAAAGGAAAATCAAGCCAGGATTAAAATTAATGATATTTGAAGATATTTATTAAAAATACATTATTTAATACACTCTGTAGAACATTGTAAGTAGATATAGTAGATAACATTTATTTATCAATAATATACAATACAAATAAAACAATAAGTAATCAGGTCATCATTTTAGCATACTCATCATTCACAAAACCAACAATAATTACATAACACGAAACGAGAAAATTAATAACTATTTAAAATAATTTATCTAGTTAATAATTTTTAGACGCTTTACAAACTTGGTACATTCGACAAAAAATTCGCTAATTAGCTTCAGATTTATTTAACGTTTACAAAAATTCATCGTTAAGCTGACGATATTTAGAATCCAGACATTAAAATAATAAGCACATATTATAAAGTATATTAATATAATTATTTCCAAGGCGCTTGTCAAGTGTAATTCATATATATACTACATTTAGCGGTTAATTAAAATTATTTAACAATAAAAAATAACATTCCTAAGCGGTGGGATTGATATGTATTAAGTATTAACATAAGAATTGCATTAATGGAATTGAAAATGCAGGTTTTTAAGCAAAATCTAAAATAAACACCCAGTTATGCTTAAAAGTAAAGCTCTCTTCATATAATTTTCTTTATGTTTAATATTTTCACTACACCTTCACTTCTTCGTTTCAGTACTTCTTTAGTGAGATTTCTAAAAATCGGATTGATCGGGTCCTAAACCTAAAAACAACAGCACATAAAAACACAATTATAAAATTAGCTTAATAATTGGTTTTATTGCAGTTCGAAACTGTATCTTTATAAGCCGAGCACTAACCAAATAGATTTTATTTGCATTTGAAACACAAAGAAAACACGTCGTTCATGAACGTATATCGGAACAAACACAAAATTAAACATGCTAGGCATTAATGAACAAAAAATCTACAGTTATTGTTTAGTTGCGAATGCGTTAGATATCTCTTTTTTGAAGCAAACTACACCTTTTTAGTCAAAAAAATGATATGGAATAGTTAAATGTGAGTGACAGCCTCATCGAAATTCAGTTGATAAATGTAGCCATTATTTAAGTTAGAAATTAGTTTAATAAAATTCAGGTTAATGAAGAGAATAAACTGATCGTATTGGTGAAATAGTTTGTCTGTATGTTGGTCAAATGCAAATAAAAGTTATTTTGATTAGGCGATGAGAATTGGACAAATTTAAAAGGTGGAGTTTACTCCAAAAGAGAATTTCATATGATCAACCAATCTATGAACATCATCAGATATAGAAGAAATGCTTCTATCTAAACTCCCTTAGTTGGTGATTCAAATGTGAATACCTTTGAAGTACGCAAAGAGGTATAATAGCTCAAGCATACGTGAGTTCAACGAATCAATTAATCAGAATGGACTCATTTGGTTTATCGCAAAGAAAAAAAAACACAAACGCGTTTTTTCTTCAGTGTGTTGCTTAAGTTTGTAACACATGCGGCAAAAAGGTGCTAGATGTAAAACTACTTTGAAAATAAAATGATAGGGTTCACTCTATCACTTTCAACTTCACTCACAAATCTACTATCAACTTTAGGAGGTGAGTGATGGCATTATTATAAGATGAAAATTTCTAGTAAATAAAGGTCTTTAAGAGCCTCGTTACGGAAATACAGTGTGCTAAATTTATATTAAAAAATAAAAAAACTAATGCGTTCGAAACTGCTTGAAATATTTAAAGGCCAAATTGCAGGTGTCTATAGCTATCGCATCATGTTTTTCTTGAGTGAAACATTTTTTTGATTCGTCAATAGCGCACCTAGCGATATGATATGAAACATTTTTGAGGAAAAAATGCTGCGCCACTTCTGTATCAAAAAATTAATTCTAGGCCTTCATTGATTGGTCAATTCCAAACTGAAACGCCTTCTTGAGTTTTCTTAATGCAATTTATAATTTTTGAATAAAAGAATAAAAATAAT